ACAACATACACACTCATCACCACACACCACACATCATCACCACACAACACACTCATCATCACCACACACAACACACTCACATCACCACACACAACACACTCACACCACACACACACACACTCATCAACACACACACACACCACCATCACCACACACACACTCATAACTCACCACACCCACCACCACACCCACCACTGACCACACACAGATACCACCACTCCACCACACACAACACACCATCCACCACACAACACACCCACCACACACAACACACCCCATCACCACACACAACAACTCCACACATGCCCACACACACACACCCATCACCACACACACACCACCACCACCCACACACACACACCACACTCACTCATCACCACCAAAACACACACTTCATCATCATCACCACACACAACACACACATCACCACACACACCATCATCACCACACACACAAACACACCCACCATCACCACACACACACACTCATCACCACACACACACACACACTCATCATCACCACACACACACACACACCACCATCACCACAAACACACACTCATCATCACCACACAACACACACCTGATCATCACCACACACAACACACACTCATCACCACACACAACACACTCCATCATCACCACACAACACACTCCACATCACTCACACAACACACCTCATCATCACCACACACAACACACTCATCATCACCACACACACACACTCATCACCACACACACACACACACTCATCACCACCACACACACTCACTCATCACCACAACACACTCCATCATCATCACCACACACACACACCACCATCACCACACACAACACACTCCACCATCATCACCCACACACACCCACTCCACACACTCATCACCAAACACACACCACACACACCATCATCACCACAAACACACTCATCATCATCATCACCACACACATTACACACTCATCATCACCACACACACAACACTCATCATCACCACAACACACTCATCATCATCACCACACACAACACACTCTATCACCACACACAACACACACACTCATCATCACCACACACAACACACTCATCACCACACACAACACACTCATCATCACCACACACAAAACACCCACATCATCACCACACACAACACACTCATCATCACCACCACCACACTCACCACCACCACACCACCACTCACACTCCACCCACACACCAACACACTCCACATCATCACCACACACAACACACTCATCACCACACATCACCCACCTGAGGTCAGGACAGCCCCAACCTGAGTGAAGTAAGAGAGTTGTGAGCCGACTCCTATCTGTGGTATTACCCAAACACAAGTGGCCAACCCTGCCTCCCCCCATGTACACTACTGTCTCCTTCTCATGTACACTACTGCCTCCCCCCATGTACACTACTGTCTCCTCCTCATGTACACTCTGTCTCCCCATGTGCACTACTGCCTCCCCATGTACTACTGTCTCCCTCATCCCTTCTGTCTCCCCCCCCGTGTACACTACTGTCTCCCCTGTGCACTGCCTCCCCCGTGTACCTCTGTCTCCCTCTCATGTACCTTTCTCCATGTGCCTCTGCCTCCCCCATGTACACTGTCTCCTCCCCATGTACACTGTCTCCTCATGTACACTGCCTCCTCCATGCCTGCCTCCCCATGTACTGTCTCCCTCTCATACCTCTCCTTGTCTCCCTCTCATGTTACTGCCTCCCCCGTGTACCTTCTGTCTCCCCTCTAAGTACTGTCTCCCCCATGTGCCTTCTTCTCCCCCATGTACACTGTCTCCTCATGCACTGCTCTGCCTCCTCCCATGTACCTCTGCCTCCCTCTCCATGTACACTACTGTCTCCCCCATCCTCTGCCTCCCCCATGCACACTACTGTCTCCCTCATGTGCCTCCCCCCGTGTACCTGTCTCCTCATGTACACTACTGTCTCCCCATGTACACTGCCTCTCATGTGCACTGTCTCCTCATGTACTGCCTCCCCCATGTTACTGTCTCCCTCTCTCATGTACTGCCTCCCCGTGTTTGCCTCTGTCTCCCTCTCATGTACCTGCCTCCCCCGTGTGCACTACTGCCTCCCCCGTGTGCACTACTGCTTTCCCCCGTGTGCCTACTGCCTCCCATGTACTATGTCTCCCTCCCATGTACCTCCTGCCTCCTCTCATGTACACTACTGCCTCCCCCATGTACATTACTGTCTCCCTCCATGTTACATCCCCTCTCATGTACACTACTGCCTCCCCATGTGCACTACTGCCTCCCCATGTACACTGTCCCCCCCATGTACACTACTGCTTGCCTCCCCATGTACTACTGTCTCCCCATGTACACTGTCTCCCCTCCCATGTGCATGTACACTACTGTCTTTCTCCTCCATGTACCTACTGCCTCCCCCATGTACCACTACTGTCTCCTCCTCATGTACTGCCCCTCCCCCATGTACTACTCCTCTCATGTACACTACTGTCTCCCTCTCATGTACCTCACTGTCTCCCCCATGTACACTACTGTCTCCCTCTCATGTACACTGTCTCCCTCATGTACACTACTGTCTCCCCCATGTACACCTCCTCTCTGCCTCCCTCTCATGTACATAATGTCTCCCTCTCCTTGTCTCCCTCTCATGTACACTACTGTCTCCCTCTCATACCTGCCTCCCTCCATGTACCTACTGTCTCCTCTCCCATCCTTGTCTCCTCTCATGTACACTGTCTCTGCTGTCTCCCTCTCTGTCTCCCTCTCGCCTCTGTCTCCCTCTCATGTACACTATGCTCCCCCATGTGCCTCCTCTCATGTACACTACTGTCTCCTCCTCATGTACACTACTGTCTCCTCCTCGTAACACTACTGTCTCCCTCTCATGCACACTACTGTCTCCTCTCATATTTCTGCCTCCTCTCATGTACACTACTGTCTCCCTCCCATGTACACTACTGTCTCCCTCATGTTTCTGTCTCCCTCTCCTTAACACTACTGTCTCCCTCTCCCATGTACTGTCTCCCCTCTCATGTACCTCTCTCCTCCTCTGTCTCCTCTGTGTACACTGTCTTCTCTCCATGTACACTACTGCCTCCCTCTCATGTACACTACTGCCTTCCCCTCCCCATGTACACTACTGTCCCCATGTACACTACTGTCTCCCCCATGTACACTCTGCCTCCCTCATGTACACTCTGTCTCCTCTGCAGCACTACTGTCTCCCTCTCATGCTTCCAGTGCCTGTCTCCCTCTCATGTACACTACTGCCTCCCCCATGCTTTTCTCCCCCCCATGTACACTTCCTGCCTCCCCTCATGTACCTGCTGTCCTCTCATGCTACTGTCTCCTCTCATGTACCCTCTTCCTCTCATGTACACTCACCCTCTCCTACTGTCTCCCTCCCATGCCTACTGTCTCCCTCTCCTTGTACTTCCTCCCTCTCATGTACCCTGTCTCCCTCCCTTAGCCTTTCTGTCTCCCTCTCATGTACACTACTGTCTCCCTCTCATGTGCACTGTCCCCTCCCATGTACACTACTGCCTCTCTCTCATGTACACTCTTTGTCTCCCTTCCATGTACTGTCTCCCTCTCATGTGCACTATTCTGCCTCCTCCTCATGTGCACTACTGTCTCCTCTCATGTACACTACTGTCTCCTCCATGCTACACTACTGTCTCCCCCATGTACTACTGGTTCCTCTCATGTACACTGTCTCCCTCCCATGTTTCTGCCTCCCCCGTGTACTACTGTCTCCCTCCCATGTACACTACTGCTTCCCTCATGTACTCACTGTCTCCCTCCCATGTACACTCTGTCTCCTCTCATGTACACTACTGTCTCTCCTCCCATGTACACCACTGTCCCTCCCCATGCCTCTTGTCTCCCTCCCCATGTACAATACTGTTCTCCTCCCATGTGCCTCTGTCTCCTCCCATGTGCCTGTCTCCCTCCCATGTACCTGCCTCCTCCATTAGCCTCACTGCTCTCCTTCCATGTGCTGTACATACTGCTTCTCCCTCCATGCCTCTGCTTATCCCTCCATTACTCTGTCCTCCCATGTACACTACTGTCTCCTCCATGTACCTACTGCCTCCCTCCCATGTGTTGCTGTCTCCCTCCCATGTACCTCTGTCTCCCTCCATGTACACTGCTCCTCATGTGCCTCCTCCCACATGTGCGCAATGCTGTCTCCTCCCATGTACTTGCTCCCTCCCATGTACCTCTGCCTCCCTCCCATGTACTGTACCTGTCTCCCTCCCCTTTCTGCCTCCTCCCATGTACACTCTGCCTCCCTCCCATGTACCTGCCTCCCCTCAATGTACCTTTCTCACCTTCTCCCATGTGTGAGCAAGTCGTTAGTGAAATTTGGTGGCTTGCATGAAAACTGTACATATCATTAAATACATTATACTGCTTAACAATTTAAAATCAGCTACACTGAAATAAGTTGTTCACAGTTATATTTCCGCCTCGACTGACTGCTGTTGCCTAAGCGGCCGTCTGTCATACTCATCCACCAATTTTCAGGGGCGTGTAATATTTCAATGTGATTCTGATTTTTTAAATGTTTTTACAATGTTTAGACTATGTTATGTAAAATATCTTGTGTCTTGCTGTTAACAGGTAAAAAATAAGTATAAATTAAATGCATTTTCCGAAAGCGTCAATTTGCTACCAGAGTTTAACAGTTAATTCATGTATAATACTTCTGATAAACTTCCTATGAGCTCATGTTTGAAATAAAGAATGCATGAATCTATATATAATTTAGCTAAATATCTTTCTCGTCAGAAACAGTCATTATGAATAAACCCATTTAGAAATACACCATTACAGTACTTCAGGATGAAATCGAACAAAATTGCAACAGCCAATCAGCTGTAACTCTTGAGGAGGGGCGGGGCATCTCTTCTCAGCTGGGAAAAAACGCACTGTAGTGGTGATGATGGTAGTGGTGATGGAGGTAATGGTGATAGTAGTGATGGTGATAGTGGTAATGGCGACATAATTAGTAAAACTAATTACAGGTGTGGTAAGACCTGCTCAATCCTCTACAATGGCAAATTTCCATAGAAAAACACTTTTTTAAATCCATTGTCCCCTTATAAAATGGTTAATCAACACAAGAAAAATACCAGAAGAATCTACTTACATTTATCTTTAATTATAGCATAGCTAGAGAGTTGTGTGGAGTGTTGATGATCAGTGTGGAGTGATGAAAGATGTCTTGTTTGAAGCTGCTGCACACAGCAGGAAGTGATGTTGACACACACAGGTCTTACTTGAAGGATCTTTTAAATCATATTTTTATCTTATACAGGTAGTTGCTACAAAACACAAAATATTTATATTTTCCTCAAAATAACTATAAAATACTGAACAGTAGCAATATTCAGGCAGCACAAATCTTATCACTATCTTCAAATGCATACACTATTTATATGTACTTCTACTGAATTTAGAATTTCTTGATGTAAGTCTTTGTAGCACAGAATCCACAAGGTAACTCTACACTCCTTACACCAAGTCACTAGGGGGAGGGAGACACCTGTCTGTAGGCCTAACACTGTCCTCACCACCTCAACAATATTGACATTCTCTGGGTTCTGTTTCCTCCCCGTCATTGTCTTCATCACCTGATACTTTATCAGCGCCGCTCAAATCAAGCAACTCTTGATGAACAGCATTACTGTAAAGCAAATGCCTTTGCTTGCACTTGGAGGAGTGAGGTGGGTCATAAGAGAGGTCTAAGGGTGTGCATCCCTCACAATACCTGGTGGATAACTGACCACGAGATAAATACTCGCAAGTTGAGTGGCCAATTACACAAATACCCCATACAAAGTATTGTCTCCTGTCTGGACATTCAACATATGCCGCGAAAATTAAAAATGTTCAGGAGGGTCACCCAGGATTTAAGGGTTAAAGATTGGATACATTTGTGCAGATCAGAGAGATGTAAGACAGAGAATAGCGATCCAAATATATAAGTGTAGAAGATGGTTGGGATGAGTCATGGGTGCAGAAGAGGGGAAACAATGTCGGAGTTTATTTTGCTTGTAGTAGGGGCAACTGAACCAGTATGGTGCAATCAATGATGGAGGTTCTGATATTCTCATCTTCAAGCTGTCAAAACTCCAGAAAACATGGCCTGAGAGGAAGTAGGTCGAGGAGCGCACGGTGAAGGCAGCCGAGTAGTTGCGTGGAAGACCTCGCCACACGGTCACGTCCCTTGGGTAATCCGGCTCTGCGCGACCATCTGTGCCGAGGCGCCAGTAGTGGTCCCCGCTGAACAAGTAGATCCTGCCATTGTGACCCCACACCATGGCAGTGTCTAGATAACTCACATTCACTCCAAGATCTGTCAGTTTACCAGTAGTCTTCAGGCGAAGGCTCCTCCCTAATTCATAGTATGAAGAACCACCGAAGAATATCAACGTGTTCTCCCGGGAGACGTACACTGCGTCAACACGTCTCATTGAAGTAGGCAGTCCAGGGAACCTGTTCCATATCCTGTTTGGGGACTCATTTTTGTACATGTAACCTTTCCTACTGATACGCCAGTAATAGCCGTCCTTGAAGAAGTAAAACTCACCATGGAACTTTATCACAGCATCAAAGTCGGTGTCACAGGTGTCAGGGGGGCCATCCTGTGGAGGGTCCCCAGCAGGGCAAGGTACGTCATCAGAGGGCTTAATGGGTTTGGTTGGAGTTGTTGTAGGTTTGGTAGTTGGAGTTGTTGTAGGTTTGGTAGCTGGAGTTGTTGTAGGTTTGGTAGTTGGAGTTGTTGTAGGTTTGGTTGGAGGGAAGTGGGGGTTGGTGGGTAGAGTCACTGGTGGCAAAGTTTGAGGTTTGTATGGAGTAGTTCTAGGCAAAAAGGGAGTTATGTATGGAGTTGTTGGAGGTCTTAAAGTCGCTGTAGTATAATGTGACTGTGGCCTGCCATAGAGAGTCTGAATACCATACTTGTCATCAAAAGGCAGCTTTAAGTCTTCAGGGAAATCCTGATAGTAGGGAGCCATAAGAGCATTTTCCACGTCAGAGTGGCGGAGACCCAGGGAGTGACCAAGTTCATGTGCTGCAGTAATCAGCAGACTCTTGCCCTTATACTTCTCTCTCAGGTGATGAGCAACAAAGTTTTCTGAATCATCAAAGTGCAGGTCCCCTCCTATTCTGGGTCCTGGGTAAAAGGCATGGGCTAGAACGCGGCCTGGACCGTCGAATATATAACCGTCACTGTGGTCTCCCTCGAGAAAGTCTATATAAATATCCACTTGAGGTTTATCCTTAGGTACTGTATGTATATTATGTATGCTGGATTATGTATTATGTATGTATATTATGTATGTGCTCCATTTATATTTGTTCAGCCTAGCTAGCAGCGTGTGGCAATGTTATTACCATATCCCACATGCTTAATTAATGTGCCTGGCGACGTATGGAAGCTGCTAATGTATCACTTGCCATACGTCGTCTATACTTGCCATACGTCGTCTATAGCAGTTGACCAAGAGCTTAGCTAGGGAGCAGTGCTACCCACCTCTGTGTACATACTCTTATCCAGTAAACCGAACCTACAAAACTATACAGGTGTTTGTGTTCTCTCCTGTATATAGAACTTATTACCCAGAACACCTAACATGGCGCAGTGCGTAGTTTTACTGGATTATTACGAGTGATTAGTGCAAGTTTGTGGAAAGCCGGCTTATGACTCCCGCCTTGGTGTCAACCCTGCGTCATCCCTCGAAGAATTTCGCAACTTCGAGCAGTGTCAGTGACAGTGATTTTCTGTGAAGTGTTAAGTGCATTGTGTGTTTCGTGCCATTCATGTGTGACCTTGTTCGAACGGATTTCCAAGGTATACGGCATGTTCTGGGCATTTGTGGGGTGTAGAGCTCAGCGCACCCTCCTCTGACCGTTTACAGAGGGTGACTGAGCTACTCCTGTCTCCACCCCCCTCCCTCACAGCGCCGCCTCCACCCCCCCTCACAGCTGGGGCGAGACGCTTTGCCTGCCTGGGACACACACACACACACACACATACATGTACTAACACTTGCTGACCGCGCGGCTTCATTATATATATTTTATATATATAACCTACTTATCTGTGTATTTAATTAAATTTTTTTGTCTGAAATCTTGTTGATACGACGGGCTGACCGGTCAACACTGATTTAAGACACAGTACACAGATAAAGTAGTTATATCTCATGCCTTACGTAGCCGTGGACCCAGCGCCTGGATGGGTCAAGCGGATGATAGTCCCCCAGAGATGGATGACCAGGCCGGCCACGACGCTCCAGCTCCCACAACATCGCGCAGCCCTTCACCTCAACATTCAGCGTTATCTCCAGAGATAATTGCCTTAATGAAGTTTATGAGAGATGAGAGACGCGAGGATGAAGCTCACAGACGTTTGGCGGATGAGCACAGAAGGCAAGCAGAGGCAGAACGAGACCACCAACGGAGAATGGAAGACAGTGCACGGTTTGAAGCCTTGATATCTCGCCTCACTGTTAACCAAGCCCCTGGCTCTAACACTGCCTCGGTACTGAATGGTTCAGATACCTCATCCATGCTTCCTTCACGCCCCCCAGCCCCACCTAAAGCAGCAGCTCAAACACCGCCCATCTTGGAGCCTGATGTAAATTTCCAGACTTTTCGCGAATGGCGGCGGCGGTGGGCTGATTATGCTACAATGGTGGATCTCCAGAGTTTGTCACAGCCTAAACAACTCATCCAGCTGCGTATGTGCCTGTCCTTGGAAGTTCAGCGTGTCTTAGAACATACGTTGCAGGTACCCCCAACCTCTTCGCTGTCTGTAGAGGAGGTACTGGACGTTCTACAACGGCACATCAAAGGACAGCAGAATGAAGCTCTGCGCAGGAGGGAATTGTTTAGCTGCAGACAGATGGAGGGTGAGTCTTTTGACGCTTTTTATGTACGTCTTAAGAGAGCCTCGGAAGAGGTAGATATATGTTTAGGCCACCACCAGCAGTGCGAGGAGACCCAGTTGAAGCAGGTGATCCTGATGGGTGTTAAGGACGAGGAACTTGTCCAACGCCTCACCTCCCTCGACTCTTCCTCTTCTCTTCAGGATGTGTTGACGATATGTCGCTCCTATGAGGCTGCCAGGTGTGCCACCTCTGCCATCCGAGCTCCCCCTACAGCTGTACGCGCTGTGTCCCGGTACAAGAAGGACAAGAAGTCCGCTCCTACGCCTTCGCCCACCACGTCCACGCCCGGTTCATTTTGTAACAACTGTGGTAAGCAGCACGGAACACAGGTGTGTCCAGCTGCTCAGTCTACCTGCAACAGTTGTGACCGTATGGGCCACTGGTCGCTCACAGTGCGGTGCCCAGCTAAGTACGTACAGTGCAATGTGTGCGGTCGTCTGGGCCACTATGACAAGTGTTGCCCTACCCACGAACCCAAGGGACAGCGTCGGCGGAAGCTTCGGCGCCCTTCTACCAGTGAGGGCCGCCCACAGTCGCCAAATCAGAGGCACGACGACCCTGGACAAAGCTCGACCCATTTTAGGAGGGTGTACTCCTCGCATCCCAGGACCAAAGTCCCCCAGTACATCAGCGTCATCGTGACCTACGGCGGTGTGTCATCCCGTCTTCAGATGTTGCCCGACACCGGCGCTGATGCTACAGTCATCGGTCCCCAGCATTTGCGATGCTTGGGGCTCTCTCCAAGCGATCTAGGACCGCCTCCCAAGGACCTCTGCGTCATGGCAGATGGTTCACAGATGGCCCCAGCCCTGGGTTCACTCTATGCACATGTCACCTTTGGCAACAGGTCGTGTCAGGCCTGGATTGACGTGCATAATGGTGTCCCGACTCCCTTGCTGTCCTACAGACATTGTGAAGAGTTGGCCATCATCTCCCAGGACTTCCCAACACCGATTCTCGAGGTAAATTACGCCAACAGGGTGCATGAAGGGAGCAGCAACTACCCTGCTGCCGCCCTACCCCTACCTCTGGCCAGTGACACCTCTCCTTCGGTAGTTGTCCCTGCTGCATCACGTCCCCACGCCCTGGCTCGCCTTCACGACAGTCACCGTGGAGCTGAGGCCACCAAACGATGTGCACGACAGACTGTGTTCCGGCCTGGCATCGACCCCGACATCTCCAATGCTGTCCAGGTGTGTAAGCCCCGCCACGTATTACAACCCAGCCAGCAGCAGGTACCCTTCATGAGTGACGACAACCCCACCCGCCCCTTTGAGTCTGTGTCGGCAGACTTTTTCTGTGTGTCAGGAAAGTCCTTCCTGGTTATCGTCGACCGTCTCTCTGGTTGGCCGGTTGTCATCAAGGGCGGTAATGACACGACGTCTGCCGCCACCATCAGCAAGTTCCGCCACTACTTCCGTGACGTGGGCGTTCCTGTACGCCTGCGAACCGACGGAGGGCCTCAGTTCACAAGCCGGGAATTTGCTGTGTTCCTCGACCGATGGGGAGTCCGGCATGTGTTGTCATCGCCCCATTACCCGCAGTCCAATGGCCACGCTGAGGCTGCTGTCAAATCCTTGAAGCACCTCATCCTTAAGGTGGCCCCTTCTGGGAATATTGACTGCGAGGCCTTCGACCGGGGTCTTCTTGAACTCCGCAACACACCTAACTACACCGGACGCTCCCCTGCCCAGGTTTTGTATGGACGCCCCCTTCGTTCTTGTGTCCCTGCTCACCCTCAATCCTTCTCCAAGGAGTGGCAGGCCAAGACAGAGGATTGTGATCGCCGAGCCGCCGAACGTGTTCAGGACGTCGTCGCCCGCTACAACGACCACGCCCGTTCTCTCCCCAGGTTGAGTGTCGGTACCCAAGTCCGTGTTCAGGACCCGACCTCCCTACGTTGGGACAAAGTAGGCGTAGTCATGGGTCTCGGCAGGTCACGGGACTACCAGGTGCGGTTACCCAGTGGTCGCGTGTGGTGGAGGAACCGCCGTTTTCTCCGCCCCGTAACACTGCCTTCTGCTGGCCCCGCCACCAGTGTTGAGTCCCACACCCTTCCCAGTGATGAAGTCCCTCGACGCTCAGAACGGATCCAGAAGAAGAGGTCCGCTCAAGACTTTGCTATGAGCGTATAGGGGGGAGGGAGGTGTATGTATATTATGTATGCTGGATTATATATTATGTATGTATATTATGTATGTGCTCCATTGTATATTTGTTCAGCCTAGCTAGCAGCGTGTGGCAATGTTATTACCATATCCCACATGCTTAATTAATGTGCCTGGCGACGTATGGAAGCTGCTAATGTATCACTTGCCATACGTCGTCTATAGCAGTTGACCAAGAGCTTAGCTAGGGAGCAGTGCTACCCACCTCTGTGTACATACTCTTATCCAGTAAACCGAACCTACAAAACTATACAGGTGTTTGTGTTCTCTCCTGTATATAGAACTTATTACCCAGAACACCTAACAGGTACCTCTATTAAAGTGAGGCCAGACTCACGCTCCCACACTTCCATGGCGGCATGTATTTCCCGCCTTATGACTTCTGAGGGGATGCGGTCTATGTGGCGGCTGGGGGTTCTTAAAGTCCAAGTCAGGTTCATCTTGTCCCATTTATTCCCGTGCAATGAGTAGCGACGTACCCTTCCAGCGTTTACCTTCCCAATTTGTTCATCATCTTCATCTGGAACACCGCAGAACAGAATTCTATCTTGATTGTTTGGCGTCACTTCGGTGATGCTTTTCATGGAACCATTGGAACGTTCACTGATAACTGCTATTTCTTTGTCAGAAACTTCAGGATATGTGTTTTCTGATGTTGTTATTAGTGAAAAGAAAAAAGTGAATGTGAGGAAGGATGCTGTATAAATATGCTGGCTCTTCATCTTATGTCAGCTTCTTGTTTACTTTATGGGGATTTACATAAAATTTCTTGTCTGATTATAACAGACAGTAAATTTACCTTCAATGAGTGAGGTTTTGATGTAGTTCAGTTAGTATTCCCCACATCACATATGATTATCCTCATTTGATGCATCACAAAACACTATCACTTGTCTATATGTTTCCCGTCACTGTGAGGTGCTTCAAAAGACAAAATTATTTCCTTTAACTAACAGGAGTGTATAATTATCATACACATACTCTAGGAAGCTGTCCACAATATGTGTCAAAAGATTGGAAAGTAAAGATAGATCCAGTTATCTCTTTAATAAAATACTATCGCCAATATGCTTTTGTTTTCTGTGTCAATATAATATTGATCATAGATGAAACTGACTAAAAAAAACACATCACACTAGAGATGAAGTGCAGTCAGGGTTATGACACAGAGCAGAGACAGCTAACTACTGAGTGACCAACAGGATGTGAACAATAGAAAAGCCCCAGGAATACCAGTGATAAAATTATCATATATACAGTAATAACTTGCCAGCTGTAAGTCTTCAACTCCTGTATGACATTAGGTTGTGTAATACAGTAACCTTTCTCAAGTCTATGTATTCATGAAACTATATGGCTAACATTATGAGCTACTGATGAACTTACAACATGGACACAATAGATGGAGGGATAGTTTGATTGATTAATAGATACAGGTTGACAACCCTTTATCCGAAAATCCAAAAACCGAAAAGCACTGAAAACCGAAAGTTTTTTTTTGTGAGGCAATTTTTTTTTTTTTTTTTTAAACAGGGATTAGCCCACCCGGGCATAGATCACTGACCCACATCAGGGCCTGGGGGGCGAAAATGTAATAGTAATAATAATTATAATAATAATAATTATTCATAGTAAATAAAAATTTTAATAAAAATACAAGGTACACCAAAATAAAATAATATGATAACATTATTAATAATAATAATAATAATAATAATAATAATAATAATAATAATAATAATAATAAAATTCATAAAAATAACAATAATACAGGAGTACTGTAATAATGAAATAATAATAATAATAATAATATAAAGAAATACAAGAACGAAAAAAGATCAAAAGTGAGAAACACGACCTAGACCTATGAATTATTATTATTATTATAATTTTTATTATATTTTCACCCCCCAGGCCCTGATGTGGGTCAGTGATCCATGCCTGCGGGCTAATACAAAAAAAAAAAAAAAAAAAAAAAAAAAAACATTCTGAAAACCGAAAAATTCCGATATCCGAAACGCCTCTGGCCCCAAGGATTTCGTATAATGGATTGTCAACCTGTAATAGATAGATAGCTATATGGACAGATATAGGAGGATTGATATACTGTACAGTGGTCCCTCGGTTAACGAACACAATTCATTCCAGAAGGTTGTTCGTTAACTGAAAATTTTGTTAACCGAAACCAATGTTTTAATGGAATTTTGGGTAATTGGTTCCAGCTCACCAAATATTACATAAAGTAAAAAAAAAATGCAGTAAAGTACACTTACTTTGAGGTGTGTATGTAGAAGGCTCCTGGATGATGATGATGGGAATTTGAAGTGGGTGGTGGAGGAGGAGAAGGGAGAAGAGAAGGAAGTGGGGGTGGAGGAGAAGCATTTTACTTCTTCTTGGAAGGTGAGTCACCTTCCATGAAAATGTCAGGAACCTCTGGGCTGACAGATTCTCCAGCAGGAAAATCCTCTCTCTTTTTTTGAAGTGGAAGGCTGAGGGGTAGCATCTTTTTCCCGCTGCCTTTTAGTGAAGAAACTGTCAATTTTTGTTTGTGGGGCATTTCTCCTCCTCATCATTATCTGATTTTTGAAGGAGACCACTGTGTCCTCAACACTACACAAAATAGGTTCTGTTGTTTCCACATCTGGGTGCCTTGATGCCAGTTTCCTGAACATCTCCCAGCGGTAAACAACATCTTTTAAGTCTGAAGAAGACATATGGTCATCACTTTCCGTTTCCTCCTCACCACTGTCAGCCTCTAACATCTCATCCAGTTGCTGCAAGTCGACAGTAGTAAGTTCCTGCTCATTAGACATCACAAGCTCTTCCACATCATCCTCCTCCACTTCGAGGCCCAATGACTGACCAATGGACACAATCTCCTGGTCCAACTCCGTTTCTTCCTCAAATCCCTCAAAATCATGGACTGCTGATGACCACAGTGCTTTCCATGCAGAATTGAGGGATCTAATGGAGACTTCTCGCCATGAGGACACAATCAATTTTACAGCCTCCAGGATGTTGAATTGTGTCTTCCAGAACTGTGCCAGTGTTAGTTCAGGATCAGTGGAAGTTGCCTGATGACACCTCTTGAACATTTTCTTTATGTACAACTTCTTGAAGTTGCTGATCACATTCTGGTCCATTGGCTATATAATTGATGTAGTGTTGGGAGGCAAAAACAACACTTTGACAAAGTCAAATTGAACCTCCAAAGTGCTGGCAAGTTGAGGGTCATGACCAGGGGCATTATCCATAAGGAGAAGAGCCTTTAAAGGGAGTTTATTGGTGGATAGGTAGCTCTTCACAGAAGGGCAAAACACCTCAACAGCCCATTCATTAAAGATATGTCTTGTCACCCATGCCTTACGGTTGGACTTCCAATAAACTCCACGTTGCCCTCTTAACACCTTTTGTTGCTTGAACACCCTGGGGTTCTCAGAGTGGTGGACAAGCATAGGCTTCAGTCAGAAATCCCCTGAAGCATTGGCACCAAGCAATAGCGTGAGAGGGTCCTTCATGGGTTTTTGCCCAGGTAAAGAAGCTTCATCTCTGGTGATGAATGTCATTTTGGGTATTTTCTTCCAGAACAGCCCAGTTTCGTCCACATTGAACACTTGCTGTGGAAGATAATTTTCTTCCTCCACCAATTTCTTAAACTCCACTACAAACTTTTCTGCTCCTTCTTTATCTGCACTGGCAGTCTCACCATGCCTAACAACACTAAAAATGTCACTTATTTTCTTAAATTTTTCGAACCAGCCCTTGCTGGCCCTAAACTCTTCAAACTCAGTTTCAGAAGACCTAGGTTGATCTTCCTTCAAATGTTCGTAAATTTCCCAGGCTCTTTCATAAATAAATTCAGTAGAAACTGAATCACCTTTCATTTGTTTTTCCCCAATCCAAATAAGAAGTAACCTCTCTGTTTCTTCTATTAATTATCTACCTTTAAAAACTCTGGTAGATTTGTCTCTCACTTTCACTTCTTTGAACTTGACTTTCTGTGCAAGAATTGTCGACACAGTTGATGCCGACATGCCATATTCCTTACTAAGCACATTTGTTCTAATGCCTTCTTCATGTTCCTCAATGGTTTCCTGTTTCACTTGAATTGAAATCGCCTTTCTCGATTTCTTTAGAGCCATGCTGGATTCAATACAGTAATTTCACCACTAAAATTTTAAGTTCACTAGCTGAAATTAAAGATTATTTTCTTTAAATCAACACTGCACTGCATTATATATTATCAATATGTAAAATAAATTTCAAAATGACCAATAATTGTAAAGTCCAAAAATCCGGACTGCTTGGGAATTGGGTCGGTCCGGATTTTCCGATTTTCCAGATTCTCAGGCAGTACTTTTAAAATTCAAATTTAAGGAGCAATAAAGAAGAGATGAACAGGTACATTTTGATAGTTTATTCATTAGCAAATATAGCATGCTTCATTTATCAAAACGAGCAGTTTTAAAGAAAAAGCTGTGAATTCTAGAATTTTATTCTTTGCCTTTTTATATCATAAATTGTAGACTTTCCAATGCCGTATGTTTCCATTAGAACAGTATTGCTCACACCATGTTCTAGTTTCTTAATTATTTCAAGTTTGTCACTCAATTGCAACGTGTTCTTCTTTCTCTTCACACAACGAAGTTAATCTACTTTAGGAGCCATTATTATGGGCTTGTACAGTACTCTGTAAATGGAAAGAGTAGGACTCAAAATTACATATGTTGTCACAGTTTGATTGGTCGTTTTAAAGTGGCGACCGCGTTGTCGCTTGTTGTCGCTGTGCAACTGTGGCGCTCATACATGCGCACATACACACAAAAGCCAGCTAAAAAAAAAAAAGCGAGTTTTCGAAAAGTCCGGATACTGTACTATACTGTAAAAACGTAAAAATAGTTTATGTTCAAGAGAGTCTCAAGCAAGATGTTACCTCTACTGACCAGATATACAAACTGACGCCTGTTTGGCGAGTTGAGTGACTGTTTGGCGCGCTAAAAACTACAGTCTGCACGGATTGTGAGATCGTGTGCTGAAAAAATATGCATACGCAAGGCTAAGGACAAACTCATTGCATTTTCTTTGAAATATAATGTTGATGCAACTTTTAAATCATCATCTGTTGGTGCAAGGAAGCGTATGAGTGGAAAAAGATACAAATCTTGAGGAGGCAGTGACGAAGTGGTTTGTGCAGCAACGATCCTGTGGTAATGTCGTCCGTGGTGTAGAAATACAAGCTGCTGTTGTTAAGCTAGCAAGTCATATGGGCATCGAGAATTTCGAAGCTAGCGACAGGTCTAAATCGCTGTGGAATGTGTCATCTACCGAAGGAAAATGAAATTAACATATTGTAATGTCTTATATAGCTAGTTATATGATGTTTACAGTACAGTATTTCCTGTATTTTTGTTACTGTGTATCATGTTCAGCGTACAGTATATATACGGTACTATATTTCCTAACCTAACCTAAATTGGTTAATTCGGACAATCGGCTAAAACGGACACCCTCCCCCCCTATTAGTCCGAATTAACGAGGGTCGACTGTATTTACAATTATGTTATATAAATAAAGTCAAGTAACACTTACCACTTCAATTAATACTTTGTAGTGTTTCCTCTGAGCTTCAGACAGTCTTTTAGCCTTCGAGGAATACTGTCAGCAAGGTTTTGCAAGAGGTCAGGTGGCAAGTTAGCCCAGGTATCCTTGATGGCTGCCTCTAGCTTCGGGATTGATGATGTGTCAGCGTCGCACAGACGACGCTTAACAATGGACCACAAATTTTCTATTGGGTTAAGATCTGGGCTACTGCCAAGCCAGTCATTAAGGAAAGGTACCTCACAGTCTTTGAGCCACTGTATGACACTTTTAGCAGTGTGGCATGGGGCACCGTCCTGCATGAAAAGGCTTGCCTTAGCTTTATCAAATGATTCAGGTAAGAAATCACTGAGCAGCTCAAGATAGTTGTACTGATTCATCATCTGGTTCTTAGGGAGGATTACTAGTTCACCAACACCATAATACGTAAAGGAAGCCCAAACCATAAGCGAGGCAGGGTGCTTAACAGTCTTTACAGTGTACTGTGGGAGGTGCGCGTCTGAGTGGGTGGGGGGCGGTACACCCTCCCTCCATTACTCCCAGTCACAGAAAACGTAGCCTCATCTGACCATAATACACTCCTCCACGTCTCTAAATCCCACACTTCATATTTCTTGCAAAATTTCACTCTATTTTCCTTCTGTCTCTTCGTCAACAGAGGTTTACGTCGGGCACGAAAGCTCTTAAATCCCAGGTCATCGTGGAGGGCTTGTTGAACACAACGTAACAAGACGTGACTCAGAAGAAGGGGGTTTCTCTCTTTCACTTCATGTGCTGTGAGTGAGGGATTGGACCGAACTTGTCGAGAAATAACCTTAAGTGTCCGTGGAGACAATAATTTAGGCCTACCAGACTTAGGTAATGGAGCTGGTAACTCATCCTCTCCAAGGTCACGA